TTATCATTTTCATAGATTTTTGAATCAATTTTAGATAAGTCCTCGGCAGTTTTTCCGGGAGATCCCAAAATCAGAATACGCTGAGGGTTGTTCCCACCTGTACGTCGGATTTCGTGCGTCACGTTCATGGTCCATCGGTTATATTTCTCGGTATTCTGGCGAAGACTCTCGTCATTTTTGTTATTTCGTTTGCAAGTGTCTTTTCCCAGTTCTGTAAAAAGATTAAAACTCAGTCTATAGTCCTTGTCCTTTAACTGCCGTGCTACCGCTGTCCACCAATTCACGTAGGCTTTAAAGTCCTTTTCCATGGCGCAGGCCTCTGCTTGATGGTGAACCCAGGAGATGATTGGAATCACATCATGTTTCAGACAATGGTCGACAACGGTCGTCAGGTCGCTTAGAAACTGTTTGAATTTCACGGTAGAGTAGTCATAAGAGTAGAGATCTGCCCTGCATCGAAGTCTTAAGTTGCTAAAGCCTTTCTCGTGGACGTCTCTGATGTTCTGTTCCGAGTACTTTTTCATCGGCGTCTTCGTTTTGAACCAATTCGTAGAAAATCCTGCTCTGATAATCCCTGCTTGGTACTGTTCCGGGGTAATTGGATCATTTACGTTCACTACTGCAAAAAAAAATTAAATCGACCAAAAATATTAGAACGAACATTGTCGAATGTCTGGTTTACAACAGAGTTCGTTCACCAAGCGAAAATAAACAACGATCCAAAATTTTGACATTTCAATTCTATATCATAAGAAGACCAATGATATTAGTCGAAATGACAATTGGAAAAACAGTTTCATCGAATCTCGAAAAGTATCCCAAAACAGACGAAAATATTCAATTTGGTCTAGAGATTTGGTCTCAAGCATCGGAGCGGTGAATCCGCAGGGCTAAGGTTTGATTCTTTGTAAGGATTTGAATTTTTTTTTGTTACACGCTCATGACACACACAAAAAAACAAAACGTCTAGACAACGAGGAGTCCCTCTTTTCGGCGAAGTCCTTAACGCGAGTAAAAACATTAGTGAAAAAAAATTGATGTTAGTTTGCCGCGGGAAGCTATTAGAGTAAGCTCCCGCGGTGCATCGACTTCACTCCAAGGGATGCCTTCTAATTAAATCATGGCTACCAGTTTCTAGCAAAGAAAAGGTGGAGCTTCATCTCTTTACCAGTAGTTTTAAGCAATTCGTTAAAGGTCTTTCATTTCTAACGAATAACTAACAAAATTTGAAATTTACATCGCGACCTTAAACTGCAACTGTGCGCAATTTTATTAATCGTTTTCGTGAGCCAATGATTCTCTTTCAGATATTTACGTGATGGAATACAAAGTAAACTCTTCACATCACATTTTAATTAAAAATTGTCTTTGGACCCACCTGTTTCCCCGGTTATGAAAACCATAAACGGCAGGAAAGCTGAACTTAACAGGACCAATGATCTGAACATTTCGTCTCCTTTAGTTGATTTGTTTCGATCTGTATAAAGGAATTTAAAAACTACATTTAGGGCTTTGTGTCCGAGAAAAAAACGTCGTTTACTGAGTTCCGGGATTCCTGAGTGAAGTAACAATTATTATAACATACGGCGCAGATTGATATTTCCTTAAAGTATACTTCAATAGAAGATTTTA